AATGTCTGCGGTGCTAGGCGGATCAAGATGCGTAAGGAAGGTAAGTTGATCGATACGAAACACGTGATCCTTACCTTCAAACACGCCTGATCTGCCTAAGAATATTAAGGCCGGATATCTAAATTGTCCTGTAAGACCTTATATTCCCAAACCCTATGCGATGCTTCCAATGCCAGCGTTTCGGCCATTCTAAGACGTCTTGTCGTGGCAGCCTCACATGCGCCCGATGCTCACAGATTGGCCACGATTCGGAAAATTGTACCGCTGCGCCTTCGTGTATAAATTGCAAGGGTGAGCACCCAGCATTTTCATGCCTCTGCCCAAAATGGAAATCCGGAAAAAGAAGTACAGACTGCTTAAAGTTACCAGGAACATCTCGTATGCCGAAGCCAGAAAACTAGTTCAAAGCACACAGCTCCAATCAAACAAATCTTATGCCAGTGCTGTTAAAATCAACACGTACATTGCCACCCAAACATCAATAGGCACACAGACCCTAAACCAAATAAAACCCAACCAACCACATCCACCAAGAAAACGGAAAATGCAACTCATTTAATACAAAAAAAGAAAACAGTCATTCAAAGTAAACCTAAAACTTGAAAGTCACAAAATAATTAATAAAAATAGAAGTCCAGCAATAGCTCTTTTGACGAAATGATTTCTGAATCTGCGGATTCAGACACTATGGAAGTAGAGGAGGGTCTAGAAGTTCCCAGGCATCTACTTCCACGAAAAACAAAAGAACAGCACAGAAAAAACAAAAACCATTCATAATGGCCACCCTCATGTCATGGAACTGTCGCGGTTTCCACCGAAATTTGCTTGACATCAAATCTATTATAAATGCGTATCATCCTGTGTGCTTAGCTATACAGGAAACAAATCTGAAACCAGAACACCATGCAAAACTTCGGAGGTTTTTTTTCGTCAGGAAGGATAACCTTGCAGGTGAGCGTGCCAGTGGAGGTGTAGGTCTCCTCACCTCACTGGATTATCCCTCAAATGTGCTTTCTTTGACGACATGCCTCCAAGTTGTCGCTACTCAAACAAATTTTGATATTTGTTCTTACAGTCGTTTCTCTGTATTTGCCTCCAAATGAGCACATTGATCAGCAAGATTTAAATGGTCTTTTAGAGCAGCTGCCTGAGCCTTTTTCATCATAATAGGAGATTTTAACGGCCATAGTCCGCTCTGGGGTAGTAAAGATACAAATTGCCGAGGAAGACAAATTGAGCAGATGATCGAAGATCATAGCCTTTGTCTCCTCAATAATGGGCAAGATACTTACTTCCATGAGCCTTCAAGGACATTCCACGCTCTCGATCTTGCCATCTGTTCACCATCCTCTGTTGCCATTTTGCACTTTTAGTGTCGGAAATGATCCTTTACAACAGTGATCATTATCCCATTCTTGTGTCTCTTGCACGAAGAGGAGCAAACCCCATGTCGAGATCCCCTCGATTTATACTGGACAGGGCAGACTGGGAACTCTTCTCTTCCATTGCAGAGCTCACAGATGAAATGGTAGAAGATGTGCATATCGATGACGCTGTTGAAGCTGTTACTAATACTATTATTCAGGCAGCTATGCTTTCGATTCCTAGAACATCAGGAAAAACTACTAAAATATTCGAAAACCATGGTGGAATCGCGACTGTCATGAAGCACTGAAAAAACAGAAAAAAGCATGGGGTATTTTTCGTAGATATCCTACTCTGCGAAACCTCATAGCCTTTAAAAGAGCCAAAGCAAATGCACGAAAAGTAAGAAGGCAGAGCCAGAGGGATTCCTGGATTTCATATGTGTCCTCAATAACATCCTCTACGCCTAGTAAGCGGGTTTGGGAAAGAGTTCGAAAAGCATGCGGCAATGTATAAAGACCACTCACTTTCCTTTTTGGAAAAAGATGGCCGAGTGATTAGCTCCATAGAAGAAATTGCGAATACTATTGGTGAGACATTTGCTGCCGTTTCTTCCAGCAGAAACTATACACCTGCATTTCTTTCTATCAAGCAGCACTCTGAAATAAATCCCATCGCATTCAACTCTTCCAAATCTGAGCCTTACAATAGAGACTTTACTATGCTTGAATTAAGGAGAGCTTTGTTGCAGACACATAGGTCTTGTCCGGGTCTTGATGGAGTGAATTATGAAATGCTAAAGCATCTGTCCTGTAAGTCACTGAGTGCCCTTCTCACTCTTTACAATAGAGTGTGGAAGGAGCATACCTTTCCCAGTGCATGGAGGAGAGCTGTTGTCATTCCTATTGCTAAGCCAGGGAAAGATCCAAGGAATCCCTCCAACTATCGGCCAATTGCCCTTACGAGTTGCCTCTGCAAACTGTTTGAAAAGATGGTAAACAGCCGCCTAGTCTACTTCTTGGAAAAGAATGATATTATATCGCCTTATCAGAGTGGTTTTCGAAAGGGAAGAACAACCGTAGATAACATGCTCCTCTTAGAGACATCTATTCGAAAAGCATTTGTAAGAAGAAGCCACCTTGTCTCGATATTCTTCGACATTGAAAAAGCTTATGATAAGGCATGGAGATACGGTATACTCCGGATCTTCACGAGAGTGGCTTGCGCGGCAACCTACCAATTTTCATTCAAATTTCTTGAACACTAGAACTTTTCAAGTAAGAATTGGCTCTGTTTTTTCGGATGTTTTTGAACAGGAAGAGGGTGTGCCTCAAGGCTGTGTGCTCAGTGTAACCCTGTTTAGTTTAAAAATAAATTCTGTACTAAAAGAACTTCCTCCCACCATCTTGGGATCTCTATATGTTATGATCTGCAGATTAGCTGTCGAGAGCAGATTAGATGTCAGATGAGAGAGCAGACATGAGATAGAGAGTAAGAGGCAACTGCAGATGGCTCTGAATAAGATCCAAGAATGGTCAGACAAACAGGGATTTACCTTTTCGAAACAGAAAACTGTGTGCGTGCACTTTTGTAGGAAGCGAGGTCTCCATCCTGAACCTGAGTTATATTTGAATGGTACAATTATTCCAGTTGCGCCTGAAGTAAAATTTTTAGGAGTGACGTTCGACCGAAAATTGACTTTCCTTTCTCATGTTTTAAACCTGAGAAAGAAGTGTCTAAAAACACTAAATATTTTAAAAGTGTTGGCGAACACACCTCCTGGGGTGCAGAGCGTTGCTCCATGCTTCGCATTTACAGAGCGCTCGTCCGCTCTAAACTGGACTATGGCTCAGTTGTTTATGGATCCGCTCGGTCATCTGTTTTGTTAAAACTGGATCCTGTTCACCATCAAGGTCTGCGGATTTGTTCAGGAGCTTTCAGGACTTCTCCTGTGCAGAGCCTATATGTTGACTGTAACGAACCATCACTTTATCTGAGGCGTGAGCAATTGTCCCTTTTGCAATATTTTAATACTTCTATCTCAACCTGAACATCCCAATAAGCTGTGCTTACTTGATAATGAGTGTAACACATTATTTGAAACACGTCCATCCTGTGTTCCTACTTTCCCTTTAAGAGTTCGCCCTGTCATTGAGGAACTCTTCCCTCTCTGATATGCACCCCCAAGCAGTACAGAATTTTGAAATTCCACCTTGGGAAAATTCACGGATCCAGCTTCTTGATGTTTTTAAACATCACGTAAAGGCGAGCACTAACGAGATCGTTTACAGACAAATTTTCGCTGAGCACAGGCACAAATATAGCAGTTATTATCCGATATACACAGATGGATCAAAGTCAAATGATCATGTCGGGATGGCTTTTTGTATTTGAAAATTACATAGAGGGGCAGATGCCTGCACCATGCTTTCTCTGTCCTAACATCTGAACTAACTGCAATATATTATGCTCTATTGTACATCTCAAAGCTCTGCCACAAAAAGTTCATAGTTTACACAGACTCGTATAGTGCTCTTAAATCCTTGGAAGCTTTTCCCAAAACTCAGAATCCTGTGGTAGTGGATGTTCTCAAAATTCATAGAAATTTAATGATACGAGGATATGAAATCCTGTACTGCTGGGTTCCCGGGCATACGGGAATAAAGGGAAACGAGCTTGCAGACATCGCGGCAAAATCTGCTGTCGAACTGTCCAGTCGCCTTATCCCTTTTAGAGACATCTGCTGTGTCATCAAGGGAAAGATACGAAAAAAATGGCAGCAAATTTGGGATGTTCAGCATCACAACAAGTTGAGAAACATCAAACCTAGAATTGAGCATTGGGATTTTGCTGGAAATCGTAAAGAGGACGTTCTTTTGACTCGACTCAGAATTGGTCACACCAGAGTCACACATAGCTATCTTCTCAAAGCTGAAAATGAGCCTGTTTGTTTTAATTGTAATGTTTGTTTATCTGTTCGTCATATTTTAATTGAGTGTCCATGTTTTAATAGTCTTCGCCAGAAATATTTTAATAGCTGTGACTTACCTCTCGACCGTTTAATCGGAAGAGAGGTCAATTCTAATTTATTTTATTATTTAAAAGAGATTGGCTTTTATTACCAAATGTAATTTGTTTTGAAGACTGTGTCTTGAATGTTTAATATGTGCTTTTTAACTTGTTTTTATATGACTTCATCCTCTGGATTTGGTACATTTATCTACTTGTTTTTATTTATTTGAATTTTAATGTCATCAATTGTAATCATCTCATCTTTTGTTTGGCGCGTCATAATCATCTCTGGTTTTTGCGCCATAATCACTCACTCACTCACTCACTCAGTCCTCGGATATGCAGATGATATCCTTCTTCTCTCAAGTTCCCCTGACACTCTACAACTTAACATCAACAAGGTCCATTCACTCTGCTCTAGGATCGGCCTTCGCCTGAACGCCAAGAAGTGTAAGTCCCTTCAATTTTCCGGAAAGTTACGTTCTGGAGTACGTCCGACCGATTTTCTCGTGGATGACGCCCCGATCTGCAAGCTGAAAGAAGGAGAACACTTCCTCTTCCTCGGGAAACCTGTCGGCTTTCACCTGGCCCCTGACCGCGCACAGCTCCGGGACTACCTCAACATGGCCAAGAAAATCATGGAATCTTCGCTCGCCCCTTGGCAGCGGATAGATGCCCTCAAGACATTCTTCTTCCCCTGCCTTCTCTTCTCCATGCATACTGCACAACTCTCTAAGGGAGACTGGAGAAAAGTTGATGATTTGCTGAGGCCCGCCGTGAAGCGCACTCTCAACATCCCGAAAGAAGCATCTAACAACTACCTCTACGGGCTGTCCGGAAAAGGCGCGCTTGGCCTCCCCCTTGCGTCAGAGGACTCTGATATCGCAGCTATTGACGGGGCTTTCAAGTTGCTCACCTTTAGGGATCTCGCCGTACGACTGCTTGCGTGGGAAGACTTGACCTCTTTTGTTCAAGCTCGGCTCCAATGCCCTACTTCTCCAGAGCTCATCGCCCAATTTCTATCTGCTGCCGATGACGGTCCCTTCGCTGGAACCACCAACCGCATTTCATCCATGTGGTCTGCTGCAAGGGCCGCCTCTCGCCGATTGAATATTACCTGGAGTATCGATAATGAACACCTGCCCTCCATCTCCTATGGCGGTTTTACCATCTACGCCAGCAAGAGGAATTCCATCTTCAAGTCTATCCGCCACCACATGCGCTCTGTCCGTTTACAAGACCTTGTCAGTCTCCCTAATCAGGGCAAAGCTATGGAGTGTGTTGCAGATTCGAAATGCAGTTCCCACTTTTTCCGCGATGGTGCCTTCACCCGATTCGCTGAATGGAGATTCATTCACCGGGCAAGGTTGAATTTGGTGCCCCTGAATGCCGCTAAACCATGTTACCAGTCGAACCGTCAATGCCGTCGATGCCCTTTTCCCAACGAAACCCTACCTCACGTTCTCAATAACTATATGCGCAACTCTCGTCTATACCAGCAACGACATAATGCAGTGGTTGAACGCATCAAAAAGGCCGCCAATGGCAGATGGAGTATCCTGTATGAAAACCAAGTATTCCCCGGCACCAACCTTCGCCCTGATCTGGTGCTCTGCAAGGGCAGCTCCGCTCTCGTGCTGGACATCACTGTGCCATTTGAAAACAGGTTAGCTGCTTTTTCCGCCGCTAGACAAGATAAGGTCTCTAAATACCGCCCGGTAGTTGAGGTTTGCTTTATTTTTTCTCTTATTTCTCCTATTGATGCTTGATGGGTTGGTGACCTTTCCTTGCGTCAGAAGGAACCTTTCCTTTCCCTGTGAGCGTGCAGGTGTCTTTTCCCGCTATCACTGAACTAGCCGTTTTCGGTTAGTCCATGTGATGGGCGGGGTCTAACTTTCTCTACCTCTTTCCTGTCTATTCTTGCTCTTCTTTAGTATTTTTTCGCTATTTAGTGTTAAAATGCTTTCGTTGAGCCCTTATTTTTTCCTTTCCACAAACTCACTATTATGGTGGGCGTGGTCTTTCCTTTATTTCATCCCTATCTCTTTGCTCCTTCCGCTATCGTTTGTTTCGTTTTATTTATTTTTCCCATGTCCAGGTTAGGTTCGAACTAACTGGTTGGTTTTTATGCTTACTCGGATTAGTGTCCCGGAGTAGCCGTGAGCCCTTAGCCTGTGTTCTGCCACAGGTCAGGGATCGAGTAAGCTTCCGATTACCCATCCATGTGAAAAGGACACCCGGCTGGGTGCGGCCTTTAGTGGGGCGTAATCTTCCAAGTCCTGGTCATCGTCTTTGCTCTCCTGTCAATGGTTTTTCCTTTCGAGTATTTAGTCTCGATAGGTGCCTCGACCCCCAGTTCGTCGTGGGTCCAGGGACTTACCTCCATTGGTGTCTTAGCAGACAGGCCACTCGGCTGAGTGAATCCTTAGCTCGACACCAATTTCCATCCAAATCGGCTAGTTGCACGCGCTAGTTTCTCCGCCTACCCTGGTTATGTTTTTTTTTTTTTTTTTTTACCAGATCCACCCAAAGCTTCGACAGTTGCTCTTGCCCTCTGACTGTTTTATGTTTGATCTTGCCAAAAGTGCTTTGTTCTTGCTTTTTGTGCTGCTGTGTTTCTCTCCATTTTTTTTCAGCTATGCCTGGACCACCGAATGATGCCGGCTCCTCGAGTGACTACATTCCAGTTCCGGTTCGTCCGCCCAGAATCCCGTCGCCAACAACTCCTGGCCTACCTCGGATGTTGCCTACGGCTTCTACGATACCTGCTGTGGATATGCGCTCCTCTCTTGCTGTGTCGTCACCTCAGCCCTGCTCTGTCACCTGTCTGCCTGTTGAAAACCATGCTTCTGCTATGCGTTCCAGCTCAAGACCTCCTGTCCGACATGTTGCTGCGGCTGCCACGCCTTCCGGTCCTCCACTGCTACGAGGTGGTAATCTCAGGCAACTCCTAGCAAAGATCTACGAAAGGTCGCCTGACTCAGTTTACCGTCGCTCTTGTGGCTCACCTCCTGGACCCCGCTCTTCACAGTCTCCCACCTTGGATCTTCATCCCACTGGATCTTCGTCTGACTCGCCTGCCTCTTCTCTCTTTGATGTTTCCTCTGACTCGCCAGTGTGCCACCACACTCGTTCGCGTGCTGCTGTCAAACATACCTGCTCTGGACCGCCTCCTCCTGGATCTCCTTCCACGATGTCTCCTGATTGCACAGTTGTCCCTGCACCTAGCGGCGACATCTTGCCTCCTGTCTGCCCTGTGACGTCTGCCCCAGGTTCCTCATCTTGCGCCAGTGATCCGACTGCCGTGTCCTCCTGTCTGCCGGATGCCAGCACCTCCGTTTCCCCTTCTCCTCCTCCGCCTGCCTTGATCATCTGTGGTGACTGTGGAATGTCCTGTATCAACAAGAAACAGCTGCGCTTCCACTGGTACCGACGTCACAGATCCTCTCCCAGCTCTGACTCTCCTCATGATTTCCGGCTTCCTGGATCTGCTGGTTCTCCGACTGCCGCCCCCAGAACTTCGCCTCCTCCCAGTTCTCCTGGCCTTGACACCACCTACATCGGCCCTCAGGGTCCTGATTCCACTTGTCGGGTCGACTCTACGCTGCAACCACAAGAACCACAAGAAACCACAAGGGAGAACGGAAGGGAAAACGTTCCAGCCATGAGGAGAGGAGACGGAAAAGAGGATAGATCAATGGGGCTCCAGGATCGTGACACCCGTCTCACCAAGAAGATGATTCCCTGAAGGGCTAGGGTACCTCGGGATTGCCACAACCGTACTCACAAAAATGAGCCGCTGAGGGCGTATAAAATTAGAGATTAAGTTCAGTCTTTTGATAAGCGTAAAAATTTGTAAGTTTCTCATTTGCACATATATATATAGTTGTCTTCACCAGTCCTGATCCTAGACTGTGGCAGCCAATGTGCAAAACTGCAAATGCAAATAGGCCAAATAGGCCACCTTTTCTTACAGAAATATGTTTTATAATCATTTTGTCACCCTTGTATTTGCCTGCCGAGGTGTTCACCATCTTGCCCATTGCTAGGATCGGCCCTGGTCTTCACGGCCCAAATTGAATTTTGATTCATCGCTAAAGACAACCTGTTTCCATATGTTGTAGTCAAGTGCGACAGCACTCCAAACAGAGAAAATGGTGTGTGTCATTCAGAGCACATATCAATTGTCAAATTTTTTTATGATCTGACAATTACTTCTTGAGGCATAAGTTTTTATGGCAATGGGTGTATTTATTAAAATTTTGCAACTTCAAGTAGACACATTTATTGTTTTACTTATGTGAACATTTACTATCTTAACTGCTTGTCCTGGTAAAATTAATTCGTGGAATATAATACATTTAAGAAAATTTATTATAGTGAAAGAGCTTCAATACCGTTGGAAGTGCATCCGAAGATCGTACATCAGGTACAAGAAGATCTTGGCAACAAGAAGCGGTGATGGTGCTGCATCGAAAATAAGAAAATTTCCACTTGCTGAGCAGATGACCTTTTTAGAGGATACAATCAGACATAGGCAGTAAATTCTGTTTTATATATTGTAACTACTATAAGAATAGCCTGTTAAAAATGTATAAATTATGTAATTTAATTAATTGTTTTTGATATTAACTTGTGAATATAATATAATTCCACTTAGGAAACCTAAGTCTAATTATTGAGGATTTTTTTATTAATGTAAAATATATTATCAGTACATTACAAAAAAGCATATTTTAAATGATTCAGATTTATTTTTAGTTAAGCAAACTAGATACTAGGCATAAAACTAATTTTGAAAATTGTAATATTTTTTCTTTTGTCTTTTTTGAATGTAATAAAACCAAAAATTACATTTTAATTAAGAAATTGATGTTCATAATCCGGAATTCTAGATGTCTCTAGTATTAATTTAGAAAATGAAAATGTAGATTTTGAAGGCCATTGTACAACTGATAATAATTATCTTGCAATGACGAGAATAATACATAGATAAGAAACTTAAATCACGATATTGCGACTTCAGTATACAGATCCTCCTAAAACAGAACAGAAATAAACTTGATACTCAGAAATTTCTTTAATGTATTGTTGCGTGCGTACGGGTTCGTTATGAAATGAATGCACAAGTCCGATGAAAAATGAACAAAAATTTATTATTATCACAACAAAAATGCTTAAATTTTCTCAAATTATCATGCAGTATTACAATATCTCACAGTAGTTTTCTTTTAACTAGTCAAATGTCAATAGAACGTAATTCAAAACAGCTAAAGAACGCTAATCCGCGAATTCGCTACAATCAACAACAGTAGTTTTTCTAAACAACAACAAACTAAGCAACTACTATTAACTGAGAGGTTTTCCTCCTTTTATAAGATTTTAAAATCACGCGCTAGAATTTTCCAGTACTTTCTCGAAATCAAAAAGAGATATTTATTTATTTAATGCACGCGCTCTTGTATTTTCAATTTTCCGGCTTAGCTTTCTTTTAATATTCGTCACGCCGCTGCACTGCGCGAGAAATAAAACCATTTAATTTCTAATTGAACTAACATTAGCTTTTTAAATACCAAATTCGTAATACTGCCCCTTTCCCAAGGACTGCACGTCCCGGGCAGTACAATCCCTGGACAGGAAGCAAAACTTACAACTGTGGCATAAATGCATTAATAAGCATTACATTACAATAATAAACAACATGAACAATAAATGCAATACATAAAACAAATCAAATGCTATCAAATACAAATCAAATACACACATTTAAAAACAAAAATGGACCATGGTCTTATACTATTTACAATTATTTACATTATGTACTATGGCCATAGTAATGAGCTAACCTGTCGTAATGAACGACTTTAGGTTTAGAGTTCGAAGACTTACGAATCCGAACCACGACGTCATTCAGCCTGTTTAGGACTGTGTACGGCCCATCCCAAGGTGACTGTAATTTCGGACAAAGTCCTTTCCGTCGAGTCGGATTCCACAACCACACCTTGTCTCCTTCGTGGAATTGATGTTCAGTAGCTCTTGTGTCGTATCGGGTCTTCATCTTCTCCGTCGCCAAGTTGACTCGCTCTCGTGCAAAATTGTGCATCACTTCAAACCGGGCCTGGAGATCTTGAATATATTCCTCAGACGATGAAGGAGCATCCGGAGGGCGGCCAAACAATAGATCACAAGGCAGACGAAGGTCAAGACCGAAGAGCATCTGTGATGGAGAATAGCCGGTAGTCTCGTGGACAGCACTGCGGTAAGCCAGTAAAAAGAGTGGTAATTTCTTGTCCCAGTCCTGTTGGTTTCTGGAAACCACTAATGAGAGGTTATTAAGGATGGTTCGATTGAACCTCTCTACCATGCCGTCCGACTGGGGATGCAATGGCGTCGTTTGAGTTTTGTCAATGCCAAGTAGTTTTGCATAGTTCTTTGATTACTGCCGAGGCAAAAATTCCTTCCCTGATCGGAATGTAAACTGAAGAGGCACTCCGAACCTGGAAATCCAGTGCTGTATCATTAACCTCAGCTACTGTGACTGCCTCTTGATCAGGAATAGGATAAGCTACAGGCCACTTGGTGAAGTAATCAATGACAACGAGTATGTATTTGTTGCCATCAGCAGTTCGTGGCAGAGGTCCCAGGATGTCAAAGGCGATACGTTCAAAAGGCGCACCTACGTTGTAACGTTGCAGTCTGCCTCGGCTGCGTTTCCTCGGTCCTTTCCGACCTGCACAGGCATCGCAAGATCGGCACCACTTTTGCACGT